CTTCAAATATACAGCTCAAAATATCTATAATAAAAACACTTCAAATATACAGCCCAACATATCTACAATAAAAACACTTCAAATATACAGCCCACAATATCTACAATAAAAACACTTCAAATATACAGCCCAACATATCTACAATAAAAACACTTCAAATATACAGCCCACAATATCTACAATAAAAACACTTCAAATATACAGCCCAACATATCTACAATATAATTAAAATTCTTCAAATATACAGCTAAAATATCTACAATAAAAACACTTCAAATATACAGCTCAAAATATCTATAATAAAAACACTTCAAATATACAGCCCAACATATCTACAATAAAAACACTTCAAATATACAGCCCACAATATCTACAATAAAAACACTTCAAATATACAGCCCACAATATCTACAATAAAAACACTTCAAATATACAGCCCAACATATCTACAATATAATTAAAATTCTTCAAATATACAGCTAAAATATCTACAATAAAAACACTTCAAATATACAGCCCACAATATCTACAATAAAAACACTTCAAATATACAGCCCACAATATCTACAATAAAAACACTTCAAATATACAGCCCAAAATATCTACAATAAAAACACTTCAAATATACAGCCCAACATATCTACAATATAATAACAATTCTACAAATATACAGCTCCAAATATCTACAATATAATTATAATTCTTCAAATATACAGCTAAAATATCTATAATAAAAACACTTCAAATATACAGCTCAAAATAACTACAATAAAAACACTTCAAATATACAGCCCAACATATCTACAATATAATTAAAATTCTTCAAATATACAGCTCAAATATCTACAATAAAAACACTTCAAATATACAGCCCAACATATCTATAATATAATTATAATTCTTCAAATATACAGCTAAAATATCTACAATAAAAACACTTCAAATATACAGCCCACAATATCTACAATAAAAACACTTCAAATATACAGCCCAACATATCTACAATATAATTATAATTCTTCAAATATACAGCCCACAATATCTACAATTAAAATACTTCAAATATACAGCCCACAATATCTACAATAAAAACACTTCAAATATACAGCCCACAATATCTACAATAAAAACACCTCAAATATACAGCCCACAATATCTACAATAAAAACACTTCAAATATACAGCCCACAATATCTACAATAAAAACACTTCAAATATACAGCCCACAATATCTACAATAAAAACACTTCAAATATACAGCCCACAATATCTACAATAAAAACACTTCAAATATACAGCCCACAATATCTACAATAAAAACACTTCAAATATACAGCCCACAATATCTACAATAAAAACACTTCAAATATACAGCTCAACATATCTATAATATAATTATAATTCTTCAAATATACAGCCCACAATATCTACAATATAATAACAATTCTTCAAATATACAGCTAAAATATCTACAATAAAAACATTTCAAATATACAGCTCAAAATAACTACAAAATAATAACAATTCTTCAAATATACAGCTCCAAATATCTACAATATAATAACAATTCTTCAAATATACAACTAAAAATATCAAAAATAATTGAAATATACAGTTTCAAAAATCTTCAAAATGATAACAATTTTTCAAATATAGCCTAAAATATCTACAAAATAATAAACAAGTTGTTGCCTATTAAAATATGCCCAATAAGATAACCAAATTTCAGCACATCAAGGGCTGTTGTCAATATTTGTCAATTTGTACCTAAAATCTAACAAAAATTCAGTGGTTGAAAGGTTGAAAATCCATTATCATCTGTCGAATCATACCCAAATTCAAACTTGTCCAAGATCTCATAGATATAAACCTACATATCAAATTTGATCAAAATCAAATAAAAACTGTGATCTCTATTGCGTTCACAAGCTAATTGTGGATGGACAGACAGGCGGGGTTACAGCAATACATGTCTATATTAGAATGTGGGATATAAAAATATTACATCATTATATTATATAATCATATATCATCATACAATATCATATTATATCATAATAATAAATGACTAACCTGGCCCATAATTAAAACTTTAGCTCTATGATTTGATGGTAAATATTCTGCTAGTAAGGCAAAACTGAAATTCAAAAATGTTAACATGAAAAATTTGCAGGATTCTCTATTCCATGGATAATAAGCATTGAAGATTCTCTGAATCTATAACCTAAGACAAAAACAACATTTTACAAGTACTGTGTATAACAATTAAGGTTCAAAAAGATCCTTTCTACCAGTTGGTCCTTGACCAAACCTCTGGACATTGTTCTGTCCTGCATTATATTATCCATATCCATTTACAGCTGTGATGAATCGAATACTGAGATAAGATAACCAACTTATTCAAGGTCACAAGGCTTTCACACACTGATTAAAATTAGAACCCACAACCACCATCTTTTCAATAACACCAAGCAAATGATGTCATGTAAAGTTTCCAGCACTCAAGCCAACATTGCTACAAGCCTCTTCTACTTAGAACTAAAATTAGCACTTATTCTGCTATAAGGATTATCTATAAACCAAGATAAAACTCAGTAAATATAATCATGTTTACCTTTGAGGTGACCCAGCCATCCCTCCACCAACCAACCCTCGTAATATTAATAACCAGGTGTAGTTTGGTGTAGCAGCTGTTAATAACCCAAAATAAGCAATCCAAAATACTATCATTAACAATGCCTGAAAATATATAATTATCTTAATCAACTGATTTTTTAATATAATCTATATTCACTTGATCAAATCTTTCAGCAATTTCTATTTTTACATGTGTATATGATTTTAGAATGTTAACTGTTTTTTTGTTCTGGCTGGTAACTCATTTTTTTCCCAATCAGTCATTTTTTGAGTACGATGTTTTAAGGGTGACATGACACTATTCTAGTCCTGCTGGTATACTGTTATAGTATATTGTCACAAATTTGTGGTAATAATTAATATAACTGGTATCTTTACTTTCTTTACAATCAAATATAGGCTTGCTGTCACACATCACATAAAAACAACAAATATAGCCAAAGATTATCAAAAAAATCTGAACCTGCTTGGTAAAAAAATACTATCAATTTATTGCAGTTCATCTCTGAACTAGTCTATGCTTATCTACATGTGCCACATGTCAAGTTTTACAAAATTTTACAAAGATATTTATCAGATTAGTTAAGGGAGAGAGAGGGATAAATTGAGGATAAAAATGTTGCAATTCTTAACAAGTTAAACTATTCATATCTATAAAGTAGTAGGAATATATTTCCTAACATAATTTAACCTTTTTTCTGCCATATCGATCCCCAATAAATCCCCATAATGGTGCCATTAACCCCATTCCAGTAAACACAATCTGGAAAGACATTTACAATAAAATTATGATAAAGTTGTAGTTGTTTTAAGAGAAAAGAAGAATTTATCAAATACATCTTCACAAAATCAAGCTTTTACAAACTGTGACTGAAATTGCGATTTGATTGGATTGTACACTAGCCAATACAGCCAATCATTTACACAGAGCTTCCGTAAAGATCACTTTTTGTAATGCTCCAGAAATTAAACCAGACTTTTTGACCTGATCCTTGTAATGATTATTTTCATATTAGTCATTGCCTGATTGTTTATTTGTAGAATAAAGGAAAAACATAATTTTATAGATGAATGCTTTGTAAAGTTCTTGAACTGAGTACTATTGGATTAATTTCATAATATTTAATGTAACATTCTACTTGTATGATTATATCTATCCTAATGTGGGTATTTGGAACATGGAAAAAATGGGAGAAACTTACAGTTGTGATAATGGCGACTTCATAATCTTTTAAACCCCAGACACATCTTACGACTGGTGACAAAACAGCTAGGAGTAACATCTCTAAGGCATCCGCTGCCTACAAAAAAAAATTTTTTTTGGTAAAGGTCAGTAGAAATATTTACATGACATTGTCCTGAGCATTTGAGCATTCTGCTCTTCATATTCTTGAAATAAATAAATGCAATTTTGTTCAAATCATAATGCATACATTAGGAATAAGAAAACAAATATGCTTCAAATTGAATACCGAAATTTCAATGGAATTATACCAGTAGTGTTAAATATGTAAATAGAGTTATTTACTGTAATAATGCCACAGACAACATACAGACGCATTTGAAACCATCCTAATCCTATAGCCTCTACTGCGTCTTCTACAGTATAAGTTTGGCCTTCTGCTTCATCATTATTCCCATTTTCATTCTCATCTGTATACTGCATATCAAACAGAATTTCTTCATCAGATTCAGTGTCAGACAGGAGATTCTTACAATATTTAACACTGTCAGAATAATCTGAAATACATTAACATTTAGTCAGACTAGAAATTATAATATTTAACACTGTCAGAATAATCTGAAATGTAATAACATTTAGTCAGACTAGAAATTATAATATTATAATCTGAAATATAATAACATTTAGTCAGACTAGAAATTATAATATTTAACACTGTCAGAATAATCTGAAATGTAATAACATTTAGTCAGACTAGAAATTATAATATTTAACACTGTCAGAATAATCTGAAATATAATAACATTTAGTCAGACTAGAAATTATAATATTTAACACTGTCAGAATAATCTGAAATATAATAACATTTAGTCAGACTAGAAATTATAATATTTAACACTGTCAGAATAATCTGAAATATAATAACATTTAGTCAGACTAGAAATTATAATATTTAACACTTTCAGAATAATCTGAAATATAATAACATTTAGTCAGACTAGAAATTATAATATTTAACACTGTCAGAATAATCTGAAATATAATAACATTTAGACAGACTGGTAATTACAATGTTTTACTGTCAGAATGATCTGAAATATAATAACATTTAGACAGACTGGTAATTACAATGTTTTACTGTCAGAATAATCTGAAATATAATAACATTTAGACAGACTGGTAATTACAATGTTTTACTGTCAGAATGATCTGAAATATAATAACATTTAGACAGACTGGTAATTACAATGTTTTACTGTCAGAATGATCTGAAATATAATAACATTTAGACAGACTGGTAATTACGATGTTTTACTGTCAGAATGATCTGAAATATGGAATAATCCCAAATATAATAACATTTAGTCAGACTACAATTATAACATTAAACACTACCTAATAACATTTAGTCAGACTAGAAATTACAATGTTTTACACCCTCAGAATAATATAATACAATGAAATATAATAAAATTTAGTCAGACCAGAAATAAAAATATTTAACACTGTCAAAATAATCTGAAATATATCAATATAAATACACTATCAGAATGATCTTAACATATACTGAACAGAAAAAGAAACGTCAAATTTTTGGTTTATTAGGATATATTAGTGCACGATCAAAATTGTTATTTTGCTTTGTAAATATGATTTTATGACTATATAACTGATAAAACTGTGTAATAGTTGTGAATTTTGTCAACTGTGAGCTTCTCAAACACACAGAATAATATCAAAACTGCTGTCACCTTGTCATTAAAAAATATGTAAGCATGATTTGCCTAGTATGTCTGATATCAATTCACCATGAAAGACCGTGTGAAAAAATTAGTTTATTATGTCACGCTGTAATACATGAAACAATTCATATAGTGCCAGCAATAATCAGCACTGAAAATGAACACAAATTTGTCAGATCTTTGTCTACCTTCATCTACAATATCGCTTAGGGTAGTCCGGTATCAAGGTGATTGAGAATAAACAATGACCAACAGCATTACAAACTGTTGATCATTGTAAAGGGGCCAATGCTGACCAGGCAATATTTTCCTCATTCCACACTGCATGGTCTCCATAATGGTCAAAGCCCAACTTGAATTGACTTAAACATCAGTATTCAGACAATTTTGAATCTGTTGTAATACATTGAGTACATTTTGATGTTTTTATACCAAATGAGGCAAAGCTTTTCACAGAAAAAAAGCATCAAATGTTTCCCTTGTTTTTTCACCACAAAAAAGTGCTTTTGTGGGTCAGTGCCATCTTGTTTTACCAAAATATATGTAAATATCCATGTCATATTGATATCATGAGCGAAATTTTTTTAAAAAGTGCATTTGGTTCCATAGGCGTACATGCTAAAGGCCTGATAGGGTTGCTGGTTTGCCCGAAATTTTCCAACGAATGTTACCTGCATTTTTTTTTTTTTCAGGTTGTTGCCCGACATTTTTTGGGTCGATGCTGAACCCTCCATCTCCTATGCCTATGTTTGTTTCAATGTTGGAACAATAATAAATAATCAATATAAGTTCATTTATTTCTGAACCATTGAATATATTATTAAATTCACACAGTGTAGTCTATTGTTTATATTTGTATTATAGTATTTTACATAAAGTCACATATTAATGAGAAAAACTGAATAGGCAGCGACAATCTGCTGGCCACACGGACAGTGACAAGAGCAAACGCCACAAGCCGCACATAATCATCTCTCGGGCCGTAGATTGCACAGGCCTGGTGTAAACAGCAGTATTTTAAATACAAATGGGCATATATTAGAAATTTGCCTTTACAAAAAGGAGTTCTCAGGCCAAATTTGAGCAAATGTGTTTATTTCAAATACAACAGTTTCAAAACTTTTAATTTAAAGCAAACTCAAACTTTACCCTTAGAGCTGCTTCAAACTGCTAATTCTGTTTTGTTACCTAGCCATTTCTTTAATATATCAACAATTCAAATATATTATAGTATGGTCAATATTATGTATCAATTTTTCCATAATTCAAACAAATTTCTAAATAAAAAGCACAATTCGTTCATAAATCAAAGATATCAAGTATGTACTTTGTAAATAATAATTATGCTATGAGCCATGTTGTTTTAATACAAGAAATGACTATGCCTACCTATATTATTACTAAGTAAATCAGAACTATATCTAACGAAATGCTATTATATATATATAATGTTCTTCTTACGACCAGCTGTGCTTCTATGTCAATAATGGTCCATACATTATTGAATAGAAACATCAATAACAACTGGTTGCATAGCGAGATACGCCCACAGCCCTGATAACTTTTCAGTATATAAAGGGCAGTAATCAATCTGCGTTAAATTGTTCATTTAAACAATCATTTCAAAATTTCATAAAATATTGATTTAAACTGTCACTACTATCATGTTCACATGCCACATTAAACATAATTGTGTATCAGATAATCAGATAAAAACTTATTTTCTATTGTGATAAAAAACAAATTTTGACGCGTTTTTTCCTAATTCACAGACAATAACTCAAAAAAACATTGTCAAATTCAAACTTGGCCAAGATCTCATTGTTATACATGTAAATAATCACACCAAAATTTCACTCTTAACACCAAATTTCAGATAAATCAGATAAAAACTATTTTCTACATAGTGTTCACAAATGAATTTTGACGCGTTTTTACTAAGTCAAGGGCAATAACTGTATCTCTATTATGTTCACAAGCCAAATTATGGACAAACAGACAGATGGACCGGGCGACGACAATATACGACTACATTTAAAACAATGAATCAGAAGTAGTGAAATTGCCCAATTTCATACAATATATGTAAAATTGTATTGTAAAAATGTATTATTTTTTATTTCTGTGCATTAAGTATATTTCATTTTATTGATATGACCACAAAGGCTACCAGATACAATCTTGATCTGATTTCTACAAAATTTAGCATATATTCTTTTCTACTCAAATTGACTGTCATGATTTTTTCCATGATATATTTGTGGTAAGTGTCTTTTAGACAAAATTGACTTTTGAATGTACAATAGATTATTCTCTAGATCAGATCCAATTTGGACAAAAATTAGTATGTATGTTTAAATAAATTTTGTTCAGCTTAAATTTGATATATGCAGTTTTTAATGCACATTTTAAGATATTGCCCTGGCCATTAATGTCTTAAATGGCTTTTAAAGGTATACTACCTTTGAGTCTTTCTTCATCAGTGGGATTACCTGGTGTCATAACTATACAAAAGAATCCCTTTATAATCCAATAAATCAATAAAACATTGTAATAATTCATTATAAACTAAGTAATTTTAAAATATGCTTAGAAATATAGAGATTCTATTCTTTAGTCATAGCACCTGGTAAGTCCAAATGATGAATATTTTATACTCTTATTGAACAAGTTTGAGACTTTAAATTTCATTTCCATTCTAAGAGTAGTATTCTTTTAATTGCAATAGAATGTAGAGAACCTTCTTCAGAGACCTACCAAGCTTGACATCAAATTAGACAAATAAATTCTATTGCCTGATAAGAAACATGATAAGATATAGCTGAACTTCAGAATCTACCATATGTATATAATAATATAAAATATTCTAGTGAAATGAAATTAAGATATATTGATTCTAATTCTTTTCATAAAGAATGCATTTCAGTCAAGATTGAAATCAATACAGTAATATTACTTCATAAAATGATTACCAAATTGTAATAAAAATTGCACCTGCATTGAATACTGTATTTTGATATAGAAGCCAGTGGTGTTTGTAAAATCATAATCATGTGTTTGTTTACATTACATTATCTAAATATGTCTTTATTTTCTGACAGTATTTTTGTCTCAAGAATTGGTCAATGTGGAAGATGATGCCGTTCAGACATAAGAAGGCAATATGAAAGATTGTAAAAGGAAACAATTTTTAATATGGGAGCTTTGCATGGTATTGGTGACCAACTATACATGATTCATTATGTACACAATGCTGATATGAATACAATTTATTGTGTTTTGTTTGTTGCAGCACATGCTGGGGGTGGGGCTAATATGTCAGTGATGATCTTTGCAGACAACTATAGGCACTCTTCTCTTGATACATTTACAAAACTTTGCTTTAAACGTTTTATACAATGGATAAGTACCGCCCACTTGTTTATACATCAAAAAGATCAAAGGAAATTGTCTACATCATGTTATAATTTGTTAATATTATTAATTCTCTTCATAAATAAATTTCAAATGAAAAATAAATTTCAAATGAAAAAGAAATTAATTCTGAATCAATTAAATAAAATTGTGTTACAAATATTAGCCTACAAATAAATTTCATTTCAAATTAATTATAAGATGTGAAATGAACTTCAGAATTACAAATTCTTGTGTTCCTAAGGAAGGCATAGTTTTAAAGACAAGTTCAGATAAAAAAAAATATTCCAAATAGGAGAAAAATGAAATAAATTAGCTTTAATTGCAATTGCAAAGTTTTCTTTTCATCTAGGATGGAATTAGGTAGCAAAATGAATGGATACCCTGTTCTCAATACTGTGAAATATGTTGGTATTACTCTCTACTAAAATTCATGTGGCAGAACTACTGCTGCATGCTGCCTGCGTACTGGTGTAACAAACCTTATAAAATGTAGAGTGAATGGCTATGGAATGAAGCTTGTCAAGCAGTGTAGTTTTACTAAGGCTCTGCATGTCAATTGTGGTCCAATTTTAAACCAGAGAAGCCAAAACTTTGCCTGCAAATTATTATTGCCATAAAAAATCAGAACACATCCAGAAAAATATAATGGCATGTAATGACCACAATTAACTCTTATATAGGCAAACAAGTATAATTGTACTTAGGGCAACTTGTTTGGGGTCGTAATTTGCTTGTTTCTAGGTTATTAGACTATAGAAACCAATGTTTTTCCAAAGAAATGCTTAGCTTTCCACTCGTATGAGAAATTGTCATGTGTGAATAGAGTAAACAGTAACCCTGATTTTAGTATTTTCTTTCAGACAATTCCACAGTAGTCTAGAACCCCATCCTGTATTTAACTTGAATCACAGCAAGTTATTTATTAAGATATGCTGAATGGTGAGCAATTAAACAGGTGCTGATATTTTATGTGATAAATGTGGCTTAATGTATTCTTCTATAGTAGACAATTTTCAACTGAACAAGATGTCAATAAAGCAGTATATATATTGTATATATTGTATAACAAACTTCTTGGTAGAGATTCTTAAATTCACACCCACAATCCTTACTGATTCAGAACTTCAAATTGGTATTAAAACACATATATTGCATTTTCAAAGATTTGAATCAATATGAATTTACCTGGAAATATTTCTAAATTATACATTTTACCTAAACTTTTTAAATAGTTTTGGTGTTAAAAAATTAACAGTCAGATTTTTCTAGTTAAAACTCAGTTACAGGACATGGATCATTGAATTCGTTCATCTGTCACCTCTGATTTTTTGTTCCCATTTTATTCACAATTATCTGTTTATAATTCTATGTATATTTATCTATATTTATTGTAATTCTATTTAATCGATATGTAGATATGTAATCTAACTTTGGGAGGAATAAAAGAGTATAAATAAATAAAAAAATAAGGTGGAGTTAACATAGGAAGTGCTTAGTTTTGAATATAAAAAACTAAGGTATGAAAAAAGGTAGAAAATGTAGCTACAGTCAGTCATTTCGAAGTTATATCAACAACTCTAGCCAAATAAGTTGACAATTAAAATGATGGAAATTCAAAAAGTGCCACACTTAATTTGTATGAATCTAAAAGTGCGGGCACACAAGCGGACTTGGTCAGAGACTGATTAGAGTCTTGTCTTGAGTTTCTACAACTGGCACGGGCACACAAGGAGACAAAAATCTCCAGTCAGTCGATTTCCACAATGTCGATAATCATGTGCAGAGCATGCAATTGATAAATCTTGTAGGTGACGCAATAATCTTGTCGTGGAAGCACGGGCACACATGAGCTTTTACTCAAGATTTGAGTCAGGGACAAACTTCTCAGACCAAGATCACTCATATGCCTGTACCTTTACAAGTCTGCACAGCTTCTGTTGTTTAGTAAGTTAATAGAGTACTCACCATTTTTGAGATATTTTCGACTGCGATCAGTTTTTAATGGAACAGCTGTATAAGAAAAAGTATTTCTGTCCAGCAGTGCTCGTGCAATTTTACTGGTCATCTTTTCTGATGAATATCTCTGTAGGCTTCTCAGCTTTAACTATGCATTATTCATACTTTTTACAACTGTAATTAATATTAAATCGATATATGTTAATAATATTCCCACATAATTAAATGAATGATCTACTTTACATGTCAGACAAAAAAAAATTAAGTTGACATTAAACATTGTTTAAACTAGAGGCAGCATGAAAAATTTTAATTATAGTTGAAACTATTTCTAAAATATGTGTGTAACCTCTATTTGATCAAACTGAATTTCTTTAAAAAGGGTTAATTAAAAACAGAGCATTAGCTTACTAATTGTAAATTAAGCAATTTGAGGTAGATTTGATGCTTTGCTTTATACTAGTAATGTCTTGGTTTTTTTTTAGTTGAAATATTCAGAATAAGAAAGAGACATATTTCTCTACAATATTTTGCTTAAATAAGTACCAGGTACAGTAGTTTTCTTGCACCTACCAAAAAGCATAATGAAGTAATGAACATTAAAACTAAAAATAGTTTATAGAATATTAAACGACTAGATACATTTGTTAAGGGAAATGAAGAACTTCATAACTTCAAGTCTAGATCCCTGTTTGTGTTCAGTACACATGTTCGATTATGGCGGCCTTTGTGTCAAATCGGAATCCCATGGTCGTTTGCTTAGGAGAAGCAAAATACATTTTAAGAACATGGACATTGTCCTTCTACATTTGGGCTCAAACGATCTATGTGACTCTGGTTTGGACTTTGGTGTATAGATATCAAAAAGAAGTTAGATCTTCTAAAAAAAAAACAGAACGCACCTTTAACCATGTTAAATATACCTATTATACCTATTAAATACTTAAATGGCAATAAACTTGTACTGACATACATATATCTGTAGATTTCAACACCTATTTCAATCATATTACAGTACCGGTACCTTATCAATTCTGATGTGACAAAAGTAATTTGCATTTTTAGTTTCTAATTAGTAATGAAAGGTGACAGAAAGCATATATCTATAGACTTTTATAAAAGAACACTGAGTGCAGAGCTGAAATCATATCTAAATCAACAGAAGTCTATTTCGTACAGAAACATTATGGCTTATTGTTTACAGACTCTCTGTAGAGCTCTGATTGACTGTATTTGATAGCATACAATCCAATCAAGCCACTGCATTTACAAACTTAGTAATACAAGAATAGTGGCCATTGCAGTCAAGGTATGAGACAAAGTAGAATAAAAAATATATATCAAATCAAAACTTCATTTTTTGAGAAGAGAATCAGTTACTTTTCCAAATCTATTTCATTCAATCAACATTTATAAAACAGTTGAGATCTTTGGAGCATGTTGATCAATGTTGTGATAAATTCATGACTCAAATCAACCCTAAAAATTATTGCTATGAAAATAGTTTGATCTTTGAATAACAGTAGAGTAATGATCAAGACCAATTCAATAAGAAAATTAACTATCTTGAACAGATCTTAAACTTATCTGACACAAAATTCTGACAATCAAAAAATGATGCACATGTCCCTTTAAAACATGCAGCCTCTGCATTTGACAATATTCATGGAAGAGTATATTGACAGTGCATGTGTACTATTTGTATTACCACAAAAGATGCTGAATATCTGATCAGAACTCTACATGTAGCAAAGAATTGCTGCATACTGCATCATGGTCAGAGTGTCAGACACAACAACTTCACCTAGTAATAAAAAAAAACATCAGAAACTTAGTGTTAAACATATGAAAATATATAATTACAGTTACCTGACTATAATTGCATATTGTTTCAATAACCTGACAGTCTTATGTTTTATATTAAAACCTACCAGGATATACTATTGACAAGCATTGACAATCACAAATTTAAGAGAGATTAATAATCATTTAAACAACAGGTGTTCCCTTTAATCAGATAACAGCCAGTCGTTCATGTTCTTTTTCTATTCAATTTATCAAAAATAGATCAGTAATCCTTGTCAATGGTCTGGTTGGCCATTTTTGGATAGTTGACTTTTTAACAGGGAAGAAGAGACGTTCTTAAAAAAAGCAACAAGTCTCAAGTCTCAGTACTTTATACAATTACAATCAGATAGGCCTTCTGTTCATGAATGGTGGTGATTCTACCATTTGCAGTAGATTTTGTCCGAGCTTCATATTTCAAGATGGAAACCATGAAACCATCCAGACATTTTCCCCATGTCCCATTTTAAACTTTCTAATGATGACTTATAGAACTCACATGAAAGTCTCAAAGGCAGATGCTGTGAGGCTGGTGACATATGTGAAACAATTGAGATACCGGTACTCAAATTTGCCAACACCAGAAACTTATTTTGATGTCCTTGGAATAAAATAAGATGTCTTCATGACTGTTTTGCCAAAATGGCATATTTTTTACAAGATGAGCTTGTTCACGCTGTCCTACACACAAACACAAAAATTAACATTTGCAAGGTTTTTAGAAAACATGTTCATATGCCAAGATTTTGTCAATTTTAGCTCTCCAGGTAAAATGTCCTCACAAATGACCCTACATTTATATTACACAACCAGATATGAATTTATTTTACTGTGTAACCATATGGTATCAATTTTCAGACAGTTTGGTGACTGACGTAGCCATTTTGAAGAAAAACAATAAACATCTTTTCAGTTTATAACATCGACTCACACAATTGAAATGACTCACATGAAACTGTTCCAAGCACCATTTCAATTAATCCTGTAGCGACCGTGGTCTGATTTACATTTTGTGTAGCAAATAAACACTGTACCTGTGTGGTTTAGATAATTGTCAACAATATTGTCATACTTAAGCTTATTAGATATAGTCGATGATTGAATTAACGGTGACACTGATGTCAGTGATGATAATATCTGACGGGACAGTTCAAAGTTGATGTCTGTCAATTTTGATTTTGACCTACAACGGTGATTAAACAAACTCAGATTTTAAAACAGAAAAATAATTTGTTAATCACCTGCAAGTTTGGTCCTTTTGGATGGCTTTGATACTTCACATTTAGAGCCTTCAGTTTCACAGTCTGTTTTCAGTTGCTTCTTCAAACTTTCACAACTTCAGTTTTGTGCTTAATGGGAGTTAACTCTTGTTTATAATTTTTGACTCGATTTTCAAGCCAACCGTTTAAAGGGAGGCAACTGCACTGACTTGGCTAAATAAATAAAATAAAGACAAGTGTGCAGTTTCCAATGTCATGAGTGCCATAGGTTTCCTGAGATGCGTCAATCCTGCTTCATTAGAGTTTTGGGCACTGTCTTGTTTTCCTCGACCTGCACCTAAACAAAATTTACTTACGATTAGCAAAGGTACAAATTATATTCTTGGCGATAATTTTAATGGTGTCTCAGTTTTGCCAACTTTAGTAACTCTTTAACTTTGATAAGTATTCCATGAAAATCGGATGTAAATGGCAACTAGATGCACTGACCTAGGAAGCTTTATTAAGAGCTTTATTAGTATTAGCTGGTAAGCCAGATGATAAATGGCAGTACTGTCTGTGTCTCTGACTAGATTAAGGCTATTAGAACTTACTTCAGCATTATTAGCAAATTACTTGTTTTTTTTTTCTTTTGCAGCCTTTTCAACTTCAAACATCAATCACAGTGATAGTCCAAATAAAGATTTTAAAGTCAACCCACAGTATATTAACAGAAACCCAAGGTAATTAATTGTTATGGAGTTATGGACTGTGACTTTTACTTTGATTCACAGTCAACAAGTACTCTGTAACGATTGTCTATAGCTCACAAGAGCAAATCAAATTGTTGATGGCCTGAGACAGGCAATCAAATAACTGATGGCCATCAGGAAATAAGTGTAGAACAATTTCAATTTCATTTCATTTCATTTATCACTGTAAGCTTTCACCGATTACAATTTAAACTAATGATTATGTACGGGTATTTTCTCCTTAAAAAGAAAGGTTCGCTATCGCTATCTGTTTGAACAATCGTACCTCAGTCTCAGGAACAGGAATTTTTTAAGCTAAGCTAATCAAAAATAGTGTTCACTGCTCAGAAATGGCTAACCTGTCCCTTTGAGTCTAAATTTTTTTAGCTAAGCTAATCAGAAATAGTGTTCACTGCTAAGAAATGGCGAACCTGTCCTTTTGAGTCTGTCAAGCCTAATGCCAAGATATATTGTGATACAACTTACAACCATATGTTGGGTTGGGAGGCCTATTGCCTTACTAGTGTCAATAAAATACAGTTGTAAAAAATTAATGAAAATCGTTGTTTGTAGATGTTTAGAACAAGCGGGAATTGCTCCTAAACCACTAGGATGGCAACTACAGAATCCCAGTAGAACTTATCATCACAAGTAAGATAAATGTTTTAAAGATGGAATGTTTTATCTCCTTTAACGTTTGCTTGATGTGTATTATTTTCTGTACAGGTAGTTTTTTTCTAAACAAAATGATTTTCTTTTCTACCACATAAACATTTATTTTGTTTGTTTGATTTTATGCACAGTTGATCAATTGAATGAAATAGAAAGCACATTGCTTATTAGTGAGGAAATAGTTGATGTCTAGACCAAGGGTTTTATTTTGAAGACTTGTAAAACTTTTGGTAAAATTAAATGTTGAAACCAAGGCACATATATGTGCATACATAGAGAATCAAACTCTTTTAAAGGGATTGTAAAGAGGTTTTCTAAATTTTTAATGCGTATCAGGGACACTCGGATTTTCAATCAGACTTATGTGGTTCCTGCAATTCCACTATTAAAACTAGGTATTTGATGCCGTCACTAGTTGCAAAGGATCTTGATATGTGATAGCATATTTTGTGATCAAACTCTTTTTTTTTTGTGGAGTCTCAGGAACCACAGACATCTGACTGAAAATTGGAGTGGTGCAATTGATGCCTTCAATGTCCCTGATACACATAAACAAGTTTTCAAACATCTCTCTTTAACTCTTTCTTGTATGTCATATTTTCTATATACTTTAAAAGGAAGATTTACGTAAATTTCAGGATAAAGTTTGATATCTCTGCGAGAAATATAATTGCTGAAATCATACATAATTCTGGCAAGGTAGTAGTCTCTGCATCTACTAAAGAAAAGGCTATCAAAGCACATTTACACAGGTTTGTAAGAGTGTAGAAATAAGTTTATTCATAAGTGTCCTTGAAATAAATTGCCAATTCTATACATCAATGAGATGATGATTTGTGAATTTTCCAAGAATTACTGGCAAAGTTAAGTATGGTTATACACAGGAGATACAATCTTTTATAGAATTTCATGGCTCAGACAATTTTCAAAAATTTAAAACTAAGTTGGTTCCTCAAAATATCTTAGAGTTTTGGTTTTTACTATATATCATCTTACTCTATCTAATTTCAGTTGTAATGATAAATCAGCAGCTCTGAATTTAGGACGAATATTAGCTCATCGTTGTTTACAGGCTGGTATAACACGAGTCAAATATCAATTTCAAATTGCTGATCGACAGTCAGAAAGAGTGAGTTTTAAATATTTCAACATCATAGCAATAGGCCTGAATTTTATAGTCATATCTAATTAGAATGAAATAGAGTTTCATTTCCTACTACTTGAATAATTTCTAACTGTTAAAGGATGTTGAAATGTGGATATTCTACAGTATTCAGGGCTTAACTAAAATTAGATTACAATTTCTTTTCGTTATTTTTTGGTATACTGTGTACATACATTTCAACCACAATCACACTGCATCATGCAGAATAGGTGCCTATGAATTGTGGGATAGCAGAACTCAAAGTAGAGCAATATGATCAATGAGACTATGAGACTGACTTGTAAAAGAGATTCTGATTGGTGGGAGAGTGGCACGTGAAATATATACTTTGTAGCATCACCGATACACTACCTTGGTATAAATTTTGTTAGATTACAATGGAGACCAAAAAATAATAATAAAATGAAATTGTAATCTTATTTGAAAATATTTCCATGACTGAAAGTTTTGGCTTGCATTACTTGCTATGGGAAAACTAGGTTTTTTTAATTTGAAGGCACTCCATATATGGTGGGATATATAACAATTTGCAAAAGTGAAAATTTGAGGCCAGATGCTTGGTTTTATTATTTGACTGTCTTTTACATAAATTATATTTTCACAATTACACTTTTGTTTAAACTATTGATCTATGTTAAGCATCATTGGAATTACTTGAAATTATTTAAAAATAGGCATTTGAAATTTACGTATATTCATTGTAGATGGAAGTGTTCCTATCAGCTTTAAGAAGTAATAAACTGATAATAAGTGAGAAAAACACCTTCAAACCTCACTATATACCTGGAATAGACTATGAAAGACCCAATAGATATGGTGAAAAGAAAGAATGGAAAGATGATTATCAAATATAATCTATAATAATCTGAAATTGTAGCATTAGATTGTCATATATATACATAAATAAAAACGATTCACACTATTTTATGGTATTTCATTTTTTCAAAAATTATCAACAGTTGGAAATTGAAAAAGAGTAGACTAATGCCGCTGTCGTGGCAAATTTCCTACATTTCACACTGCATGGTGTTGCAGATAGGAAATTGAAATGGTCAAAATTGATAATGAGCTATTTGTAAATCTTCTCAATATATTCAGTTAATTACAGAATTCATCTCAACTGTAAAGTAATCAAATCCCAATAACTTTGTGGTAATTGATAGTGAGTTTTGTTTAAAATATTTCAATAGATTTAGTTGATTACAGAATGCAACTCAGTAATCAAATCCCAATAACTTTGTGGTAATTGATAGTGAGTTTTGTTTAAAATATCTCAATAGATGTAGTTGATTACAGAATACAACTCAGTAATCAAATCCCAATAACTTTGTGGAAATTGATAGTGAGTTTTGTTTAAAATATCTCAATAAATTTAGTTGATTACAGAATACAACTCAGTAATCAAATCCCAATAACTTTGTGGTAATTGATAGTGAATTTTGTTTAAAATATCTCAATAGATTTAGTTGATTGCAGAATATAACTCAGTAATCAAATCCCAATAACATTGTGGTAGTTGATAGTGAGTCTTGTTTATAACATCTCAATAGATGTAGTTGATTACCGAATACAACACAGTAATCAAATCCCAATAACATTGTGGTAGTTGATAGTGAGTCTTGTTTATAACATCTCAATAGATGTAGTTGATTACCGAATACAACACAGTAATCAAATCCTAATAACTTTGTGGTAGTTGATAGTGAGTTTTGTTTATAACATCTCAATAGATGTAGTTGATTTCCGAATATAACTCAGTAATCAAAATCCAATAACTTTGTGGTAATTGATAGTGAGTTTTGTTTATACCATCTCAATAGATGTAGTTGATTACCGAATATAACTCAGTAATCAAAATCCAATAACTTTGTGGTAATTGATAGTGAGTTTTGTTTATACCATCTCAATAGATGTAGTTGATTACCGAATATAACTAAGTAATCAAAATCCAATAACTTTGTGGTAATTGATAGTGAGTTTTGTTTATAACATCTCAATAGATGTAGTTGATTACCGAATATAACTCAGTAATCAAAATCCAATAACTTTGTGGTAGTTGATAGTGAGTTTTGTTTATAACATCTCAATAGATGTAGTTGATTACCGAATACAACACAGTAATCAAATCCTAATAACTTTGTGGTAGTTGATAGTGAGTTTTGTTTATAACATCTCAATAGATGTAGTTGATTACAGAATATAACTCAGTAATCAAAATCCAATAACTTCGTGAAGATTCCAAATAGTGTCTTTAGCCAACTTTTATTCGATTTTATATTTTCAACCTGTGCAGACTAGATTGAAAAGAAGCGTAGGATGTATTTGAAGAATAAAGGACAAGCCTCTGTTGATTTAGATGATTCAATGAACAAGTGTCTAAAAATATATTGATCCTTAATTATTATTATTATTTACTCATCACATTTTTTATTTTAGTCTAGTGCCTAAAAAGTCATCATCAAAGCATTTATAATTCTAGCATTATATATTATTTACATATAGCCAGAAATTTCTCGCTAGATTATTCCATTGTAAGCACTTCTAATGATTTGTCATCATTAAAGGGATAGTGAAGTGATTTTCTAAATTCTTCACAATCCCTTTAAAACTGAACCCGTATCTGCTTTAGGATAATCTTACGATTCGTCTACAATTAAATAAATCAAAGTAAAATTAAAAATGTCTCTAAAGATAAAAAAAAAAAGTTCATGTTTTGCAAAATGATGCTTTTTCATCAATTTTGTTTCATGTTGGTTTTTTTTCAATCGAATAAAATGTAGCCTATTTCGAAAGCTGATATATCTTCGTTTAAGGGTTTAAAACGAAATCCTCATAATAGGTTTGATCTAGCTACCTCGTATTGCATCCCTTTATTGCCAAAGATAACACATATCGAACCTAACTGGACTGACGACTAGCAATATGACACAGACCCCTTTTTTCCATATCAGTCTATAGAACTTAGAATAAGGTCGACGCCTCTCTGGTAAATAGAATATTTTTTATTCGTGCCGAACTGTAATTAATATATACATACACTAATATTAAGTCTGATGAAAATCGATATGTAAATATTTAATTGTCTAATTCAGTTGACTCAAATATTATTCTTTGTAAAGTTCTACTATAATCAAATTTTCTATTACTGTAAAGAGATATATAGGTTTCTAATCATGGGCTTGTCTGGAAAAAATCCTACCCTCCAATTAGCTCTCCTGTCGGCTGTGGAATAAATAAAATATCAAAGTATAAATTCCCAGTCCAGATTCAAATCGGTCGAAAACGTACGATGTAAAACAGTTCCAAAGAACTTAATTTCGAAGGTCTATAATTACCACAAACTATACTATTTGTAACACTAACTCACCTTTTGAATAATCAACAAATTTATAAACATCGGTTAAAGACCGAAAAAAAAAAACGCGTTTTTGTCACCACTTGCACTTATGTTCACATTTCGGAGACCAAACCGTACACCGCACCGAACACAGTGCCTCGTCTATTCGCGGCGTTATGCAGACTAAGTAAAATGTTCATAATGGATTTAAATTTAGATTGAAATAAAAATGTATGATATTGATATCATTGATTTGGTCGTGATTTGACATTGTCTTAGATCTTACTTAAGTGTTGGCTCCTTCCGTTTTAGAAATAGGTGCAGAGATCCCCTTCTCATGCCGTGTTGTTTTTTCTCTCGATCACTTATTATTTGTATCCTATTTGAGTTACATTAAATCATTACTGTGATTCAAATACAAAATAATTATACAGAAACAGTATTTACATTAGATAATGGACACTGATTTTTATACGAATAATAAAAAAAAAACATTCATGATACTTAACCAAAATCTTACCTATGTGTTTTTTATACGCCCACATTATAATTTGGTCGTATATTGTCGTTGCCCTTGTCTGTCCGTCCGTCCGTCAGTCCACAATTGGATTGTGAACACAATAGAGGCTACGGTTTTTATCTGATTTTAATGAAAATTGGTGTGATCATTTATATTGACGAGATCTTGGACAAGTTCGAATTTGTCGATCTTTCGATGAACGGTTTTTGAGTTATTCCTCTTGATTTGGAAAAACGCGTCAAAATTTGTTTTGTGAACAGAATAAAGACTACAATTTCCATCCGATTTAAATGAAATTTGGTGTGATCATTTATAATGATGAGATCTTAGACAAGTTTGAATTTGACGATTTTTCGATCAACGGAAATTGAGTTATTGCCCAAGTAAAAGCGCATCAATATTTATTGACTTGTGAACGCGATTGAGGTGACGGTTTATGTCAGAATTTTATTAAATTTTGTGTTTTGATTAAATCAACACTATCTTGCACAAATTAAGATTTTTAGTATGATTTGACACTGGCGACCGCCTTTGATATACTGAAAGTGTATCATTAAAGTGGGCGTATCCTGCTTGGCAACCACTTGTTAATTTATTGTTCGATTCCCATTGAATTTCTTGACATTTTTATGGTCATAAGAAAAAAAAAAACATCGGAAATTATAACTGAAATAGTTGTTTGAAAGTCACTTTTCCTTATGGATATCAGAATATGAAATGAATGTTATACGTCTTTCTCTGTGCACATTGTTTGGCACTAAGACGTGTGATGTAATGAGGGAGATTTTGCTAGGAAATTGGCATTAGCATATTCTTTTTTCAATTAACAACTCTAGGGATATTTAACATGCACAGCCTGTACCTCACAGGGCCCAGTTTTATTCTCCTATCTGTACGCCAATAAGGCCTACGATATTTACATGTAAACATTAAAGACCAGAGATACGTCAAGTTTCGGACTATAAGACTCTTCAGTATAATTTGTTTATAATCAGCAAATGAGGTAATGGTTAAATTGTGTTATTTATCGTTGTGTACAATCACGCTAAACCTTTATTGAATTTGATTAGTTCATATTGATAAAATGGGAACCAAGAGAATCGGCATTATTTTCTATATATTTCGAGATTTATTAATGGTCGGAATGAATGATATGAACCTGATTCATTACAGTTCGAACAATGTATTTATAATTATTTCATAATTATAGATCCATGCTATTGATATGTATTTTCTTCAGTTACTTGTATTTATTGGTTTACTTGATACTGGAGCGATACACACGCTTGTTTCTGAAACTATACATGATTGTCTGTTACTGGAACCATACATGATTGTCTGTTACTGGAACTATACATGATTGTCTGTTACTGGAACGATACATGATTGTTTGTTACTGGAACGATACATGATTGTTTGTTTCTGGAACGATACATGATTGTTTGTTACTGGAACGATACATGATTGTTTGTTTCTGGAACGATACATAATTGTCTTTTACTGTATAAATATTTGATTGGCTGTTACTGGAACTATACAAGATTGGCTGCTACTGGAACTATACAAGATTGGCTGCTACTGGAACTATACAAGATTGGTTGTTACTGAAACCATTAATGATTATTTTTATGTGTTACTGGAATTATAGATGATCGAATGTTGCTAGCACCATCAATGATCGACTGTTACTAGCACCATCAATGATTGTCTGTTAGTCGAACCATTAATGATTGTTCGTTACTAGAACCATTAATGATTTTTCTGTTACTAGAACCATCAATGATTTACTCTTTTCGAACCTATTCATCTACAACCATATATGATAGGTTTTTATCAAATTACTAGTATAATATGATTATGTGATATAAATATGATGATTGTGCCATTCTTTACATTTACGATTGTGAAGGAATTTAAAGACTTCTGATAAACCATCTGTTATTATAACGTTTAGAATAACTACAGCTAAAAAGAAAAACGATGTTGACAATGGGAAGAATACCCTTGCTTATGGTTCTATTGACCGCTGCAGCTCCAGTTTCTGCTCATTCAATTTCATCGTACTCGAACATTGTAGAATTGCAGGAGAAATTGTTAGCTAACTATAGTAGCGATATAAGACCCATCAGGAATCAATCTGAAGCCATGAACATTAGTTTAAGTTGTACTATAGAGGGAGTTACCGACGTTAACGATGTCTTACAAACTGTGTCCTTGAGCATTGTCCTTAAACTCATGTGGATAGATGAACTTCTTCAATGGGATAGAGATGACTACGGCATTGAATATATCACCATTCCCGATTCTAGAAGATGGACACCAAAATTGATGACGTTAAACTCCATGAATAAAAGATCTATCTTTTCTGATGAAACACACCCTTACCTTATGAGTTATGAAGGCAAAGCAGAATGGCTCCCAGCGACCTACTTTACTATTTATTGCCAGTTAGATATGACAAACTTTCCGTTCGATGAACAGACATGTGAATTCTACATCCTACCCATTGATTTTCAGACAGATCAGTTGACACTGTATTTTGAGAATCAGCCTGATCTGAAAATATTGCAAGAAAATGGAGAATGGGATGTAGTTCGTTTAGAAGGTGAAGAACTATCATCCAAATCTCTATCAAGACAACGCCTTGTGGTAACAATAACATTAAAACGCAGATCAACATTTATGCTTTTAAACGTATTCTTACCTGTAATAGTGTTATCTTTCTTAAATGTAGCAGTTTTTGTAGTACCAACGAATTCGGGAGAGAAGTTAAGCTATGTTTTAACAGTACTATTGTCATTGGCAGTATTTATTAGTGTTGTTAGTGGTATGTTACCTACCACATCTACTAGTATACCATTAATTACTATTTACTTGTCAGTCCAGTTACTGCTTAGTACGGCATCGGTACTTCTAACAGTCTATGTCATCAGAGTTGATAACAGATCTTCAGAAAGACCAATACCACCATACCTCCTGTTTCTGGCACGAATCATGAAAAAGAAAGCGAAGAATAAAGTTGATGCTATAATGATGTTCCAGGAAATAGATTGGACAACCATTGCTTTATCTGTTGATAAATTGTGTTTCATTCTTTTTACAATTTCAGCCTTTTTTTCTTGTTTTTTTTTATTGTTTATGATTACTCTAAATGAATATTAAAAATCTTGGCATTAGATTGTTACATGTTCTATCATTATATCTCTCTTTGTTCACAGTAATATAGTAGTCTCAAAACATCTTGTCATCAGTTAATTTTGTCGTGCAGTAATATAGCAACAGTAAATTGATTACAAGAGCCTAATAATAGGTTTAATGTAATTGGTCATATCGGTTAAAAATAAATCACGAAAGTTTTTTTTCTCATTTCTAGTTTTTTATTCCAATTGGATATTGTAATAGTAGTAAAGATGTGTTACCATATGGAAAAATATCCGGAAATAATGAGAAATCGTTGTTTTAAATGTGTACAAAAGTCAACGTTTCTTCTTCTGATTTGTGCTTTGTCAATATAAGTATCTGAGGCCCGCACGAATGGGATCCCAGGAATTAGTATAGGACCAGATTGGTCGAGCTAATCGGAGGCCAGATATACGGCAAATTTCGGAATAGAAGACAACAGTATAGTTTGTTTTCCAGCAGAAAATAAATTGATTGTAAATTATTCATTTGATTTATTCATCGTTGTTTACAAACAACCTGTATTAATTCTGATTAGTTCTTATAGATAAATAGGAATAAAAAGAATAGCCATTGTTCCCTGTTATTGTTTGAGATGTTTTTCAAGTCAAAATGAATAATATATATATGTTTATCTGTTATTTGAACTATATAAATGATCGCCTGTTACTGGCACGATACATGCTTGTCTGTTACTGGAACGATAAATACTTGTCTGTTACTGTAACGATGCGTGATTGTGGGCCTATGTCAATGGAAGGATACATGATTGGTTATTACTTAAAGGATACATGATTGGTTGTTACTGGAACTATACCTGGAACGATACATTATTGTCTGTTACTGGAACGATACATGATTGACTGTTACTGTAACGATGCATGATTGTTTGTCAATGGAAGGATATATGATTGGTTGTTACTTAAAGGATACATGATTGGTTGTTACTGGAACTATACCCGGAACGATACATTATTGTCTGTTACTGGAACGATACATGATTGACTGTTACTGTAACGATGTATCATTGTTTGTCAATGGAAGGATATATGATTGGTTGTTACTTAAAGGATACATGATTGGTTGTTACTGGAACTATACCTGGAACGACACATCATTGTCTGTTATTGTAACGGTGCATGATTGTGGGCTTATGTCAATGGAAGGATACATGATTGTTTGTTACTGGAAGGATACACGATTGTCTATTATTATAACTATTGTTTATTACTGGAACTATACATTATTGTCTGTTACTGGCACGATACATGATTGACTGTTACTATAACGGTGCATGATTGTGGGAAGGAAGGATACATGATTGACTGTTACTGGAACTATACATGATTGAACGACTAATTTACAATTCCAGTCTTATTTCTTGTTTTATTTTATTGTTTATGACTATTGTATATGAATATTAAAAATCTTGGTGTTAAATCGTATGTTTCTTTTATTTGGTTACATGTCCATTCTTTATACCAATCATTAGGCTATCGTGTTTGATTCTATAGACGATTGTATACACGGTGGTCACAAGAAATCTTGTCATCAGTAAATTGCTCATAAGTATTTTGTCTTGCAGTAATTATAACACAGTATTGTGGCCAAAGCAATGTCAACTTCAAGTAAACTGGAGGACATTTTTCCTCTCTAGAAAATGGTTTTGTAACCACCACTTCATTTCTAACAAATTTAAAGAGGCGACATTTTCAAAGTCTTGAATGCAGCCTATGTAAATTGTCTTCAGAAGTACTAGAAATATACGAAAATCGCGTAATTCCTTCAAAAATATCTCAAACTGGGAATTTCTTTTTCTATTTTTATAGATGTAGGCTATTTTCAATAAATGGCAGTGTCTCAAGAAAAGACGACTCGACTGTTTCACTTTCTAACGTGGATAATTCCGGACACACATGTATTTGAAGGCTCAAATTTCGACGGTGAAATGTGAACATCAAAAACAATTCCTGTTTCAGAGACTAAGGTTTGATTGGTCAATAATGGCGCAGCTGTCGTATTTTGTATCTCAACCTTATTGGCTTTGTTTACAGACATTTTGTAGCCTAGTCCACAACGAACAGACTCTGATGTTTGAACTTAAAGAGTCTGAACAAAGCTCCATAGAGGCGGTGCTAGCCAAACGAACCTGAGGGTACAAATCGGGGGAAAATTCTCAAACGCTTCATGCGACAGCTGCTCGGCCTATGTCCAGATCATAGATCCAGATTCTGTCAGTTTAAAATTTTTCTGTTCAAATAGGTATCAGAGGCTGGAATAGATGCTTCAGTCTGTAGGCGTCTATTTATGTAACCCATTACTATAGGCCTAAGCTTAACTATGGCATAACCATAATATTGATGCAGAAAAAAGGGACTTAGGGACTCAGATCTATACAGGTAGCCTAGGCCTAGTTCTAAAATAGTGGCGTTTCTAAGAACCATTAGATGAGGGGTCGAGTCGGGGGCCACAGTATAGAAATGTATATAAATCTATGAATGTATCCCTTTAAATGGGAATTAATAATAGTTGCTACGCGACCACGGATACCGGAAGTATCATCAATTTTATGTCACGTGATCTTTGATCTCGACGCCATCAACAAACAAAACCATTGCAGACGACGTATTTTTATTAATAATGGCAAGTATTTCACAAGAAAGATTCATTCATATGTCATGGCTTATTATTGTTGATAAGGGTGCTTTTTATCAACTAATATAATGCAATATGCATAGACATTTTGTGTTCTAAAGTCGTTTATTCAATTTAAAAATGGAAGGACATCAGTCATCATCCGTTTGTCAATCATCACAAGACAATCAATTGTAATGTCTTAACCTTACTTCTTGACTTTTCTGATTTTAAAAACATATCTATAGAACTAGATATTAGAAATGCAGTAGTAGTGTAGTGGCCATTCAGTCAAGATGACTCAAAACTGTATTCGATTAATATAATACTTAGATTCTAGCTAGGTCATTATTTGATTATGAATAAGAATTACAAATTCCACAATTTCATGGACAAAATGTTGATAAGAGATTTGAGGACAGACTAGTTTTTGACTATCTGAAAAAATATGAATATAGGCAATATGCCTACAGCCAAACATAAATTGAATTCTGATGTTATTTAGACGACCCCACATATCTCTTTTAAATTCCAGAATCTTATGGATCCTCTCAACACACAGTATCAATTTTGAAGGTAGAAATGAACTATACAAGGAATGGTTTGAAGAAATTGATTAGTATAAAGTAAAGACTGGCTAGGTGATAAATTATTAACTAACTCATCTACTACCATGAACAATAAACATAACCGAGTGATACCAATACGCAAAAAGAGGTGAGCTCATTTCATTTTATAATTCATTTGATTCATATCCTTCAAAGGCTAACTGCTTAAATGATTTGTACATGTGTAAGAGAATAGAGGTTATTTTTTGTGATTCAATGTCAGACTTTCAAAAACACAAGCATAGGACTTATTCAGGTCACCAACAAGCAGTATGGTTGCTATTTACCAATACCTGCACAATGAAGACAGATAGATGTACCTGTAGTAATATGTTTTTAAATTTTTGACCTCATTTGACATAACTTGATATATATTAACATTTTAAAGGATGATAGTCCAGAAATTTCAATATAAAATATCATTGTCAATATAATATGATTAGACCTGTAAGCAAGTTATTATGATTACTGTGACCACCTTGGCTGAAACTCCAGCAGCTAGTCAGTTATGCTGCTGAATTCTGACTTCACTTGACTTCAGTTTACTACGACTGCTTCATGCAAACTAACAAGATGAAATATTTTAAAATTGAAGCTGAAAAAAGGAAGGCAATCAGAATCATGACGGCTGTTTTGTAAGGTCAATAGTGACTTGCGGTGGCTTGCTGCTGATTACAGAACACAGGTCAGTGTGATCTGACAAAATAACAGAAAATTCTACTTTAAATTAGCAAGACCAAGACCACTGCACAGTAGTATGCCCACCAAGTATTTGTAATATGTATATATATACAGTATGATGAAATATTACCTATTCCCATTTAAACTAAATATTAAAGATTTATAATATAATAACTAAATGTAATATAATACAGGTAACATTGTATTGTTATTGTTATTAACTCTATACATGATAATCTTCTTTATATGAAATAAGGTCATTGTTATTTAATTCTCTTATTTAGCAGATAATATTTAGAAGTACATAAAATCTTTTAAATACCTGCATTGCCAGCTGATATATAAGTCAGTTTAGTTTTTATATGTGTATCACTTTTAAAAACGATGATCTGCCTTCAGGTTCATCTATATTCTTTATTGTTGCAACTTGGTCCTAGATATAACCTTGAATTTTTAGGGGATTAATATAATAGGTCATTACAAGTTGCACAGAAATTAAATGTTATTTCATGAAAATAATAAAAAAATTTGTCTGAAAAGTTACCACATTTTGAAATATTACCAAATTCATTAGTTTTGCTAATATTAACAAATAATTAAGTTGTGCTAAAAATAACAAATTAATAAGTTGAATTAATGCTGAATGAGCTTATAAATTTA